AAAAAATCCCTGGTGGAACAAGCAGATGAAGCCATTACTGAGATCACGGACTATGCTCACATACAGGTCCCCTGGGTTGTATTCATTTAATGCAGCCGGCGACATTCAATATACATGGACATGTAACACCGACTACGAGTTCTGTTAGAAATTAGCTCCATGCCTAGCTACTTTAAATACAGGTTTTTCTGGCCAATTTCAGCAAAGACATCACTTCAATTTAAACACAAGGCCCGTTTAAATGACCTTTTACTAGGATGATCCTTCACAGGAGCGTTCAAAAATCAAAAGCAGGCATTCAGTTTTGTTGTTGAGCATTGTTTCAGAAAATAAGTACATTCAAGTTCGAAAAGTCGTTTCAGTCATTGACATCCCTAAAAGGGCTTAGAAAGAGGTTGATCAGGCATTCGACTTAGTCAATATGCAATCCTGTTTCATTTGTGGGAATTCAAATTCATTCCAGTGGTAAGCGCCTTCCAGATCCTGTATACCATCTGATTTTCAAAGAGCAAACGTTTAATTAAAGCTGGATCTTGCGAAAGCTTTTTGTCAACGTAACTTTGTGACAAAATTGTGGCTGCTGGGTTCTCACAGAGTAGCGAGTATCATCCGTTGGAAAAAGCTGATTAATGCTTTCAAGGGCAACAATAACGAAAAAAGGCCCTAAAAACAACTTTTTCATTTTTTTCTCTTCATGTTTTAATGCTAATACGGAATTTATTTCCTGAACTTTGACTTTTATGTGCACATAAATTTTGGTATGGTCCAAATAATCAGACATGAACAGCATCAGTACACACAACAATGAGCAAAAGAAAACTTTCTGATTTGACTCTAGAAATGCGCAGAGATACAAACAAAAAAACAAAGGATACAATGGAATCATTCACAATCATCAAAACAATCATTATGAAACAAATTATCATACATATATGTACAGAACGACTAACAGTGAAAGACGGACGGCATTAACTTCCCCAATACTCCTAAATTGAACACTCAGACGGCCAAATAGATTGACTGTAAATCAAAGAGAAAACCACACGCAGGGGAAAGATCTCATGTGCATCAATGAGATTGACTGTGCATGTACCTCATGGAAAAAGGCAGCAGAGATTACATTGAAGAGTGATGATGATGAAGCCTTGAACGCCCATATATTAAGTGGAATGGCAGAAATTTAACTAAACAGCAAAACTTTTTAAAAATGTACACAGAGAAACAAATTTGAATGTCAGAAAAGGGAAAAAGTAACCCCACACCAAACTGAACTGTATCCCCTGTGCGAACGTGAATACAAGTGGACAAAAGGGAGTGGATTTTAGCTGAATTTGTCCAGGAAAACCTATCTTCAACAAATGCAGCAAGAAAGTCCCACTTATTCTGCAACAAGTTACCCGTATGACACAGCAATTGATCAGGCGGAGGACGTGGAAGAAATTAATAGCTGACCTTCAGCCATGAGGCTTCTATCGGGGGATAGTAGAGTGAGAACAACCACTGCAGAACTGGAGATCATTTTTACACCCATTATTGTTTATTTAAATGTTAATCAAGCTCTGAAAAGCTGAGCTTTCTCGGCAACCTTATGGGGGAGATTTAAATCTCCCCAATCAAACCTCACTGCAAGCTCAAAATAAAGCAACAGGAACATCAAGATCGAAGTGGGTACAGCAGTGCTCAAGGAATATCGGACTGGATCCCACAAAACAGATGGTATAATTTACAGGTATTTGGGGCAGGAAATTTTGAATTTCAGCAAAGGCCAACTTGAGATATAGAGCAAAATACCACAAACACTGGAGTGACTAGAGTCATTTGAACTGCTTGCATGAGATTTTTTAAAGCAGCCTAATATTTGTCAACATTCCAGGCGGGCTCACCAGGGTTGGAGATCAACAGAAAAAAATGTAATCAAAATCTGATCTTTTTTTATAAATCAGTTTATATTTTACAAAATTCTTCACAGATTTTGAAAACATGTTATTGCTCTGCATGTCTTTGGTTTGTGACAGCTATTTTACCCAGTCTTTCACCGTGTTAAGGGGGGCAATTTGTTTTCCAAAGAAAGTCAAGGACCAAAACGTGGAGACAAAAATTTGTCCCCTGACGGTTTTGGTCCCCAGAGCATCTTAATTTCAACAGGTGTGTTGTCCCCATAACCTGGTAAGGAGTATGTTTGAGCACACAGGCAAAAGAGCAATATGATTTCAAGATTACAGATTTCAAATACATGTAATAAAGTTTCAAGGAGAAGTGGGAAAAGCATATTTAGAAGTCAAATGTTTTTGATCTATTTGTTTTTAATTATTCCCCAATTGCCTAGGTTTATGGACAAATTTTTAAAATATTTGAAACCCTGCATCTTCCAACACTGTACAATCATTTGGCTGAAAATTTTGACTTTTGCAAGAGGGAACTTTACCAGTTAATTTTTGTTAGGTTCAACCAAACACAACAAAAGCTGACTTGCAGGAGTTACTTGAAAGGAATTTCTACAAGCAATATTTCTTACTGCACCTTTACAATGGTAGGGGAACCATACATCCAAGCAGTAACATTTGTGACAGACAACACTAAACAAAGAGCCATTGTTTTCTCAAGCAAACATCACCAAAAGTCAAAATTCATATAGTCCCACAATGGCCAACTGCTCAGGATTACAGCCAAACTTAGTCAAAATTGAAACCCTGCATCGAAGCAGCACAAACACTGTGACTTTTGAGAAGGGCAACACACCAACAACAACAAAACCTGGCAAAGCCCATCTTTACATGAAAACATGGTATCAGTAAGTAAGCAGGACATTTTTTATGCTGAGTCGGTATGCTGCTAATTGTCCACTGGTCACGGTGGGTGGCATTTGTTTAAGATAAAATGATCCACACTTTGAAGGCCAGTAACTGCACGCATAAGTCCATTAGAAAAGATATTTATTATTTCTTTATTTCTATTTCTACATTTTTTCAACACTTTCCCGTCGACAAAATTTGGGGTCACAACGTCAAAAAGACGGTAAGCTGGGGAACAGGAAGCATAACTTTTGGGGGGGGGGCTTTTCACGCAACAACAATGCACTCTGATCAAACATCCACTTGAAATCCATCACGCAGACAGCAAACCTTTTTCTCACTTTCCATAAAAACCATTACATTCTCTTTTCATCCTCATCAGACTCCATCATTACGGTTTGCCAAATGGGCAGTAATGACAAAATTTTACCACATTCATCCTATGCCAGCAGGCCCTTCCATGAACAATGGACTAATTTTAGACTGTTTGGCAATGATCAATGGATCTGTCACTGGATGGTTGGCAATTTCATACGACAGCATCATCAGTTGGCACAGAATATCTTTGCTTGCATGGTTGCAGGCATTCGACCACTTCCTGCTGATGAAACAACTCCTCCCGTGTTACTCGTTCTAGTTCTCTGTGCACAGAATTCAAGGAATTCTCTTGAAGTTTATGTAATTTTCCAACAATTCCAGACAGAGGATCCCTCTCTACTGCAAATTCACAGCAATGCTGCCGTGAGTTCTGAACTTCTTCATCAATTTGGCTGCATGCGGCTGCATTCCAAACCTGAACTTTTGATGTGCCAACCGTGTTTCACACAAGGAACGATCATACAACAGCATCGTATGGGAAGAAAGAGGAGCCTAGGCCTTTCTGCCTGAGNAAAAGGTCCCTGGTGGAACAAGCAGATGAAGCCATTACCGAGATCACTGACTATGCTCAAAAACAGGTCCCCTGGGTTGTATTCATTTAATGCAGCCGGCGACATTCAATATACATGGACATGTAACACCGACTACGAGTTCTGTTAGAAATTAGCTCCATGCCTAGCTACTTTAAATACAGGTTTTTCTGGCCAATTTCAGCAAAGACATCACTTCAATTTAGACACAAGGCCCATTGAAATGACCTTTTACTAGGACGATCCTTCACAGGAGCGTTCAAAAATCAAAAGCAGGCATTCAGTTTTGTTGTTGAGCATTGTTTCAGAAAATAAGTACATTCAAGTTCCAAAAGTCATTTCAGTCATTGACATCCCTAAAAGGGCTTAGAAAGAGGTTGAGAAGGTAGAAAGAGTTTTCTCAAGCAAACATCACCAAAAGTCAAAATTCATAAAGTTTCACAATGGCCAACTGCTCAGGATTACAGCCAAACTTAGTCAAAATTGAAACCCTGCATCGAAGCAGCACAAACACTGTGACTTTCGAGAAGGGCAACACGCTAACAACAACAAACCTGGCAAAGCCCATCTTTACATGAAAACATGGTATCGGCAAGTAAACAGGACATTTTTTATGCTGAGTGGTATGCTGCTAATTGTCCACTGGTCATGGTGGGTGGCATTTGTTTAAGATAAAATGATCCACACTTTGAAGGACTGGAATTGCACTCATAAGTCCATTAGAAAGATACACATTCTTCTTTATTTCTATATTTCTCAACACTTTCCCGTCAACAAAATTTAGGGTCACAATGTCAAAAAACCGGTAAGCTGGGGAACAGGAAGCATAACTTTTGGGGGGGGCTTTTCACGCAACAACAATGCACTCTGATCAAACATCCACTTGAAATCCATCACGCAGACAGCAAACCTTTTTCTCACTTTCCATAAAAACCATTACATTCTCTTTTCATCCTCATCAGACTCCATCATTACGGTTTGCCAAATGGGCAGGAATGACAAAATTTTACCACATTCATCCTATGCCAGCAGGCCCTTCCATGAACAATGGACTAATTTTAGACTGTTCGGCAATGATCAATGGATCTGTCACTGGATGGCTGGCAATTTCATACGACAGCACCATCAGTTGGCACAGAAAATCTTTGCTTGCATGGTTGCAGGCATTCGACCGCTTCCTGCTGATGAAACAACTCCTCCCATGTTACTCGTTCTAGTTCTCTCTTCTGCACAGAATTCAAGGAATTCTCTTGAAGTTTATGTCATTCTCCAACAATTCCAGACAAAGGATCCCTCTCTACGGCAAATTCATAGCGATGCTGCCGTGAGTTCCAAACTTCTTTGGCTGCATGTGGCTGCATTTCAAACCTGAACTTTTGATGTGCCAACCGTGTTTCACACAAGGAGCGATCATACAACAGCATCTTATAGGAAGAAAGAGGAGCCTAGACCTTTCTGCCTGAA